CACCATAAATCTGCTGGCGAATTTGTTGGCAATAAAAGACAAACAGCAATTGATTTTAACGATGTCATCGATTTGATAACGGCTCTTGGAAATCAACAATCAAGAGGAACGATCTCAGTTTATCAAAATGTTTTCGTTTTTTACTACATTTGAAAGGCAATAATTAAGCGAAATGTCAGTACGGAAAGTTTGAGACTGAAGAATAAAACAAATTGAATCGGGCATTATAAGGGGAAAAAACCAATCCGGCGATAGTCGGTGAGTGGCGGAGGAATAAGAAATGCGAAGTACCTCAAAAGAAGAGAATCGGTGAAAGGTAAAGTTCTGCCGGCGAAATATTAATAAATTCATCATTTTGCTTAATTACAAGTGGATTTAAATGTACAATTTTACTGAATATCGACGAAAATCCTGAATAATACATCAAACTCTTCGTTTGGGCCAAACAAATGTAACGATGTTGGCGTACAAAGCTGTACAAAAACGTGTGTGCAGTTCAGGCAATGAATAATGACTGTTGAGTGATATAGCGCGAAAATCCATTTATCCAAATTGATAAATAATTGCCGTGATCCAATTTTCTTTGGCTAATACCACCGGTTCCACCACCTTTTGTGTCGCGGCGCTTCGATTAAGTGATATTCCAATATATGAATTGTGAGGAGGAAATAATTGCATTCCTTCTCATTCAGACCAATTCACAAAAGAAAACTGCGGTTGTCCATTCATTAAAACGTGATCCTTTCATTAACGTCTTGAAAACTGCAGGCTGCTGCTGCGGCTGCCATTCATTGGACCGAATTAAATTGGCAAACTCCCGTTCAGCACGTCGCTCATGATTCGAATAGGCCGAATAAAATGATTCGTTTTTCTTTAAAATTGGCAGCATCAAATCATTTCGTGAATACAATAAAAACCGTTACCACGCACAATTCTGCCCACCGTCCACCAATGATTCGGCAAATTTTCGTGTGCACATCTCGTGGTCAACAACATCAAATGAATTGTTTCAATCAAACCAAATGATAAATTATGTTTTAATAACTATAATCCATGGTTAAGTGTTTATCTGGTTTTCGTTTTGGCATTTACATTCTTTGGGCGAAAACAGACAGAACGAAAAAAAAACCGGGACCGGCAGGGCACATTGCGTGTGCGTGAGCGCGATGCGTGCATGAAATGCGAAGCGATACTTAAGATCCACTTCATATATCATCTAACGTGATGAACGAAGGATTTTTATGAATTTTTATCTTCGACAAATTGCTGGCGTACTGATGCATCCATCTATAGTTTTGTTGTTGTGCTGTGCTGTCTTCATGCTCTGGTTTCGCCGTTGATTTGTGCCAAGGAGAGACGAGGTGTTTCATGGATGCTTTGCATTTTTTTTTTTGTGCCGTGCATGACATTCGAGAGATACGAAATATCACAAAATGCCTAATGTACCTGTGCACTGTCCATAACGTAAATGAATATTTGTAATAGCCGGATCGAATTACGCTTTTGGACTACTGGGTGGTCGCGATCTCAAATTTTGCATCGGCTCTTCTTTTTTTATTCTCGTGCTTTTGCACACAATTCGACTTTTAGCCGAGGTTTGATTGATATGCGACTGTTGGGCTGTGGCAAATATTGTGCACACATGCCAAATAACGCGTAAGCAAATAACATTTCATTTTTTTTTCTCTTTTCCTTTCTTTCGCCTTTCTTTTGAATATCTTCCTTTTCGATAATTTTGGTCGAAACCGTTGCCTTCTCTACTCGGCTGTCGAAGAACGGAGAGCAAGAGCGAGAGCGATTGAGACGGAGAGAAAGAGATTAAAAAGACGTGAGAATGAAGCGCACCCGAAAACATTATGCGAAAGTGTAAGGAGAATTATGCGAAACAGCACGTAAGCGATGCTGATGAATTTAAATGCATATTTGCTGAATGTTTACCTCACTGCACTAATTTACATTAAAATGGATTCGGGTAAGATATGAATTAAAAGGCTGAAATTGAACGCTGGCTGGATTTTTTTCTTCTGCACCTTTTTTGCCTACCGAATAAAACCGATGATTTAGGGCCATTGATCTTTTCTCAGAGCGTTTTTCCAATATGACAAGAGAGAAGAGGATAACGAAAAATACGACGAACTTCACCATTATGGAAATGAAGCATGTCGCAGTTTTTATGGTTCATTAGTAAGCAATAATTCATATCTCGATTTATCGATTTAAAAAAAAAGTTGGCAAAACAACGCAAATATACAGACGAACCGGAAAAATGATGATGACAAATTGAGCAAGATGTAGGCAATTCATGTAATGATAAACATTTCATTTGGGCGCCTCCATTGCGTGAGAACAACTTACTCTGAACACCGCAAACGTTTCGCCCAGTTAACGACTCATGTGCAATCTGCCATTCTCCGCGAACAAAAGTCACAAATAAAAAGTAATTGTTAATGACATTTTTTCCTCGTTGTTGCCAATATTGCACACGATAATGTCTCCATCAGAAGAGTGAGTGTGCCGGTGATTGAAATACGAACAAAATTATTTTGACAACAAATTCGAACAAAAATACATTCAAGTCATATGTGTATCGTTTAGCTATTCGCCTGTCTCATGCAGGACAGTAACAACAACCGAAAAACCGGGCTTTTTATATGATTGAAAAGTCTGAATTCATTCATCGAATCTCTCTAAATGAGTTAATTAAACGAATTAATGAATTTTAATTAAAATTTCACTGCTCCCCTGTGGTTTGGTGCGCGCAAAAAAATTCACTCCATTTGTTTCGTTGCCGGCAAAGGTGGCCACAGAAACGAACGTGGAGAAGTCGATGAACGGCAAAAAGAAATGTGCGAAGCAATATCGATATTTGAATGATAATGAATTTGAAGTTTGTGTGCGCGTTCACGGTTTTTTTCTTTCCTTTTTTCTTGTTTTGCGTTACTTACTTTCATCGGAATGTCAAATATTGGTGGAAAAAGAGCAAGTTTGTGTGTCTGTTGTTACATTGAACGCTGGCCATTCCATCGAATTTAATATATATAATTTATGGATTGACTGTCGCACGATCCATTGATGCACCTTTCATGTAGATCGTTACATCGAAATATATTGATAAACGAAATTCTCAGTGTGTATGTGCGCCTGTGTAGCGCTCACTAAACGAACGCCATCAAATCACATTCCAAAAATGTGATTCAAATGCATTTGTTGTTGCTTCTTACTTTATTTTTATCGCTTAAATGTATTTATATATTTGTTTCATAAATGGACGATGGAAGATATGATCAAGGAAATGTTTTCGATGGCTCAAGATTTACGCAAAAGACTAAGATTTCAATCGCTTAATATGGTGATATAAACCATTAAAGAACAAATCACTGGATCGCTCTTAGCATAAACTCATATTGATATATTCATCGGTGACAATGGTTGTTTCACTATCAAAAATTCAACGACGCCCTTGGTGTTCGCTGTTCATCTTCAAAAGCGTCCTTCATTCTTGACAATAACTCCTTATTGCTTCTCCTTTTTATTCTATTTCATAATCCAATTAGTGTTGTAAAGCCAATCGACCAATTTTTATGCCATAACCTATGTGTGGTGTAGTGTGTTTTGTTTCAACCTACTCAATTGGTGCCCATATAACTCAATTAAGCGTTTATGTTGGTCCTAAATCAAAAGATTTGATTTGAACAATCAATTTCTCCAGGATTTTATTTTTTAAAAAAAATGGAGAAAAAATGTTCAAAATAAACTGAAATATGGGGGAAACGATGGTCATAAAAGGATTTTCTTCGATCGATTTGTTGTCACAGAGAGATGACGAAAACAACAACTTTCAACACGAAACATTTGACCAAAAATGAGGCATTATTGTTTGAATTCTCGAAAAAAAATGTTCCATAAAATATGGTTTCCTTGGATGATACGACTTAATTAGTTGCTTGGTAGGTAGCGATCATAGTCCGAACGAATATGGAGAAAGTGAAATCTCGAAAATGTGATCGGGGAAAAAGGAGACATCATCAAAATTTATCGCTGATGATCTCGTCTACCCTCAGTTTTTGTTTGTTTATAAATTAGCAGTATATTGTGTTGTTATGAGTGAAATTTATGAATGCCGTTGTGTGTTCCACATTTTACGAGAAAAAAAAACTCAGTCAGTAGTACGCATTTCTGTCATTTACCAATATTTTTTTTCACCCTAACAATCAGATTGTTCTGTAACAGAAATTGTCTAGTAGATTCTAGACCGTGTCTAAAATCGTTCGTCACCCTAACTCAACCGTTTTTTTTTTCTGCGTTGGATCGCATAATGAAAGCGATTGTGTGCGCATCAATCCACAAAAACTAATGAAGAATCGAATATATTAAAAATTAAATTATGAAAACAAGTTTTTAGTGCGCGTGCGCGCGCGCGGTCCGGGTAGACAACAATTGAACACGAAAACTTGTTTGAAAAATGTGTAATAGCCGAGTTAAATAAAACAAGTTTCACGTATCGCATTCGCATTGAGCGAAGTATTTTTCTTTTTTGCCTTGATTTCTATGTACCGTCACAACACAACTGAAGAGGAAAAAAAACGGCAACGAGCTGTGCTTTCAATTTATACAGCACATAAACACATCGAAATTACGTCAGCCGCATTCGAAATGACAATGTTTCTTCAGTCATTGAATTTCGTGGAATAAACCACCAACAAAGACACGCACACACACGCGCGTACAATGCGAATTCATCTCAATTGAACGGCATAATAAAATCACAGATTGAACGATCATCAATCGCATAGTGTACATGAAAAAATGCAATGAAATGGCACATACTGGACAAAACTGGACTGGAGAGAAGAACAAAAAAAAACGTACGATATCGAATATGGATGTGACGTGAAAGACGTGAAAGAAAACATTGTACAGTTTGATAATTCATACACTTTCATTAACTTTAAAGTTACACATTGAATAATTTAACATATATAAAAGAATTAGGGACGTTATTCAACCATTTCATCTCTACGATTTTCATTGTCAAAAAACCAAACGGATTCAAGTTTTAAATAATGACGAAGAAGCCATTCATTATCCATGCCTACTGTTTGAACATCCCAAAAAATATGCGTAAAAACTTTTAATTGGGACAAATTTTGAGAATATCCTCGTAGAAATCACCTTCGAATTTCAAATACACTATATCCAAATGTTCCAATTGATTCAAAGTTCCTTTGATACGCTCAATTTGATCACGTGTAATAGTCATGTATTCGATATAAAAAATAACTCTTGTGATCACGGTGTTGTTTCCACGGCTCCTCTTTTCAAATCTGAAAAGTATATTTGTGACAATGAAACACATTTAAAACGTAAAAAATTCGATCAATTGAAATGGTTTGATGTAAAGAGGCATTTTAGTTAAAGAGCGAAGGAAGTAATAGTATTTTTAAACTTTTTATTATGATATTTTATTTAAAACCGTCAAGTACTGCCTGAATGTTCTTACAAAAAAAATGCTCTTACCTTATAAAAATAATATATTCCCTGATTTAAGAATAGTTACTTTTATGTATCGACGTACGAAACTAAAATGTCGCTTAACTGATTTGAACTTGAATGCTTGAACTAATACCGCTTGAGCTCTAAAGACTTTGAAACGGAATTACAAGTCGTGTGACTTTTGCTTTGCTAAAAACGGACAATAAAAGAAGGAGTGCAAATCTCAAAGAACTTGCGATGTCTACTATTCCATTTGACACATTATTCGTTATCGGTTATTAAATTCTCAGTTTACCTACAAATAATTTTATTGGAACATTTTTATGCATACAACTTTCCTTATTAAATATCATTGAACGGCATTTGAAATGAAAATTTGATGCTGCCAAAAAAAAAGTCTCACTTGCGAATTCAACTCTGACTTGAATTATTATTATGTCCGGTTCGTCTAGTTTTTCGTATTCACAATTTATGCTGTCCTTTGTGTGTTTGATCTCTGTTTGATTCAACCAAACTGTAGTTTTTTTATCAAAGCGTTTTCATTGAACAAAGCCTTGATTGATGAACAAACCATGATCATTCCAATTGAATGTGTTCCTGTGGTGGATGAATCCGTTCATTAGTGACAGTGAACCTTCTTCTGTGTTAGTAAACTTCGGCAAATTCAAGCATACACACACATTTTTTTTTCTCGGACCAACCATAAAAAAAATTGGAGGAAAAAACTTCATAGTGAATGTTTTACGCTCAAAAAAACCTCGCAAAAGCATAAATATTTTAAATTACAGCCAAAATTGAAGAACATTCGATGAATGATTTTTCCTTAAAGTAATAAAAAGTTTTCGAGATTTTCAATAATCGAAAAATCGATATCTTCGCCTAGCTTCGCTTGATGTTCTGTGCGGGTTGCCCATCCTCTGTTTCATCATTTGATAAGTCAATATCTTCAAAAACATTATCTATGGGAAAATCATCCTTTTTTTCAGAACTGCAGGCCGTTGAACACATCTTCAAAGAAGAATAATACATATGATTTGAGTAATGAATTCATTTCTTACACCAAAAAAAATATTTCCATTCAATTTACTTGACAAATAAGCGCCACAATGTAGAGTATACAGCAAATTTTATAACTCATTTTTGAACACTTCTACCAACGACTGTTGAACTAGACCTGAAAATTGTCACTGCAAAAAATACTCTCTTATACTGATTGGGAAAGAAGTAGATTTTATTTATCGGAATGGAATGATGGCCGGAATTCGGAAACAATTTCAAACGATAGACATTGTTATCAAATGACCTTTGATTTATGGTCAACAGTACTGATATTTCATTTCAATTTCTTTTTAACTTGCACAAACTAACTACATAACGACGATACATCTACTTTTGTTACACTTTAAACACTAATTCAATCTCGATTATTTCTCTTAAGCCTTCTCTTGATATATTTCTTCAACGTTGAATGCATTTATGTATATCTTCAAACTCCAAGCCAGTCTCTGAATTCTTCCACCGATTCTCCCTCGTAGGGCCAGAATTGCGGCTCTTCATTATCATCTTCTATGATAATTTGCACGTCATCATCTTCTTGTGAAAATGGCCAAGCAGTTGAATAGTAAACCTTGTAAACAAAAGAAATGAATAAATTCGTATTTCAAAATAGATAGAGTAATGAAAGGTTCATTATTTTGAATTTCAGCTTGACTTACTTGGCAAATGAGAACGAATAAAAACAATATGATGGACAATTTGAGTTTCATCTCACCAAATTATTGTATCACGATGCAAAACAGTTTGTTAAATGCGACGAATAACTGTGCTTGTCTTGCCGTAGTGCGTCTTAATCTCAATAGGTGACCTTTGACTTGCGTCTATCTAATTGTACGACAAATAGCTCTCGGCTGGGTTTGCACTGTTCGCATGAAAATGACACTCTGCGTAGAATATTCACAAAAAGTTTGTAGATTTGTACTAAAAAGTTCCATCGACTTTTGTGTAATCAAATCATTGTGAATAACAGTATACTACAGCATTTATTGAGTAATCAGTAAGTGCGCACTTACTGCGAATGTTTTTTTAGAGGAAATATTGATTCTTGACTAAAATTGCGGGCATAAATGATAAACTGAAAAAAGTGATATTCGATTAGAGTCCATTGAGATTTCTGGAGTCAAATCAATACAATAACTATTTAGTTTAATATTTCCATCAAATGATTTTATTCAACTCAATTTTTTGCTTTCTGCTGTTTTAACAAAACACCCAGTTACGCCACTGCAAATGGCATTTCTTTGAGATATGAGTTTTTGATGAAACTTGTTGATTCAGCCAGTCATCGCAATCAATTAAATCAACTTTGAATCAGTCTTAGAAATGGTGTTTCTTCGAAATAGGATTTCTTGGTGAAATCTCTTGACTCAACTGATACTTTCAAATCAAATTCGGTCCACATTCTATTAGCTGCAACGATTTTCCCATGACTCTTCCTTGCTTCAATATGTTCATTCAAACATTGGACAACTAAAAAAATGCAAACGAGCATTTCATTTTGAAGTAGACTTCTCAAAAGTATTAACAAATAATGAATTAGAACAAATAACAACCTCTGGTCATAAATTAGATTACAGTTTCTCCAAACAGGTATAAAGTTATTGTTAAATTAGGTTTAAAAAAATATCTCCATCAAAAATTAAAGGGAAAAAATGCAACGGTGTGCAAATTGAATGATACAATTTAAAATTGAATGATTGTGTTCACTTCTCCCACTGTCCACTTTGTTTAATACAATTTCTTGTTAGATGGCTCTCAAGTGTGCTCTGAATTTTCGTTAATCCACTGTTATCACGATTCATATTGGCCTTTATAATTTATTTCTATAAATCAAGCTACAAAGATTTGGTTGGATTATGATAAGGAGATTAAATACCGAAAACAATCGACTTGTGTGTTCATTTTTCCGTTCGCTGGCCGTATCAATTGGATTACGATCGATAAGCTGATAGGAAATGAAAAAAGGTGCATGATAGCAAGCTTTGTGATAAGATACATATTTTGGCAACTGACAATTCCTACGGTAAATCAATTTCATTCTAAATTGACGTGTGGTTGATTCTTTGTTAGGTGAGTTGTTAAATTTTATTCTCAATTAATTGCCATTTATTACTTTCATCAAAACCGCCTTTTTTTAGATATATAAAGCAATTTCCGAATTTGATCAGCATGCTGAGTTCGACGTACAAGCATGTATTACATTGCATATTGTTTTTCACTGTGATTGTGACATTCATTTACCACTTAAAAAGCGGTTCTGGCATTTCGTTCGATTCGTGGACGGAATATGGCCTGATTCTCACAACCATATTGTATTCGTTGAGATTCCTAACATTCCTGACTATACCACAAGTATTGTTCAACTTTTGCGGTCTAGTATTTTACAATGCGTTTCCGGACAAAGTTGTGCTCAAGGGAAGTCCACTGTTGGCACCGTTCATATGCATACGAGTTGTGACACGGGGCGATTTTCCACACTTGGTACGAGCGAATGTAGCACGAAACATTAACACATGTCTGGATGTTGGCCTCGAAAATTTCCTTATAGAAGTGGTCACCGATAAACCAATCAATTTGTCAAAACATCCAAGCCATGGAGGCATTCGTGAGGTCGTTGTGCCATTAGACTATCAAACAAGAACTGGGGCACTGTACAAATCGCGTGCGCTACAATATTGTCTCGAGGATCATGTCAATGTACTTAACAGCACCGATTGGATTGTCCACTTGGATGAAGAGACACTGTTGACGGAGAACAGTGTACGCGGTATCATCAACTTTGTTCTGGATGGAAAACATCCATTCGGACAAGGATTAATCACGGTAAGCGACGCTTAACTGAATTCAATTCAATTCAAGTGACATTGATGAAAGTGGTTAAATCTGCCATAAAATAATTTACACATTATTCGTTTTCCAGTATGCCAATGAGAAGGTTGTAAATTGGCTCACAACACTATCTGACAATTTCCGTGTGAGTGATGACATGGGAAAATTGCGTTTTCAATTTAAATTCTTCCACAAGCCATTGTTCAGTTGGAAAGGATCGTACGTTGTGACTCAAGTGAGTGCAGTGCTTTGGAATTTGAGCACTTTTTGTAACTTCAAATTTGAAGATTGATTGAAAATGTTGTTCAATGTTTAAAAACAGTATCAAGCCGAAAAGCAAGTGTCATTCGACAACGGAATCGATGGTTCGGTGGCCGAGGATTGTTTCTTTGCGATGCGGGCATTCAGACAAGGATTCACATTCGATTTCATCGAGGGTGAAATGCACGAAAAGTCGCCATT